CTAATAAATTCTTGAGAGATTGCGTTTTATTCTTACTGTAACGCGTTTTAAAGATCTTTCAAATTAGTGGGGGTAGGATTTCTTTTTTAATTTAGCTTTCAAAGCTTATTTGGTACATGCTCCATGGGGTTTAAGTCGGGCGAGCGTGCTGACCGCCCCATACCATTAATTTAAACGCCTTGAAGGTATTCGACAACTACGGTCTTAGTATGGGGGCGTGCATTATCATGCCTAAAAGCAAATCTATCTCCTATAAAAGGAGCAACTGGGATTAAAACCCAATATCTTAGTTACATATCGTGCCGCTATTAGTGACTCATTCTCAATAACGTGAAGAAAGCAGTCAAGGCAAATTTTAAACAAAACCTAAATTTAAACTCAAATTCAAAAGTTGGCAAAGTATTTCGCACATTGAGTTAAATGTTGTACTACGTACAGTGCATATATATCGATGGTTTTGCAGTATCAATGAACGTAATATTACGACATAATTACATACAAGAAATGAAATTCGAAAATAAAAACATTCCAAAACTTTCCTTTTCAATAGTATTTACTACTAATGTTTGAAAAAGTTTGGCCATACAATAAAAGTTCGATATTTGGGTACCAAACGAGCTCATTGAAATAAATCTAATGAATCGTGTACTCATCTGCACTTCTCTATTGAAACGAAAGGAAACCGAATCAATTTTGAAAATATTGATCACTGTTGATGAAAAGTGGATCACCTACGACAAGAACGTGTGAAAAAGATTATGATCAATGGGTAATAGAATAGAATACTAGAATAGAATAATTTTTTATTCAATATACATTACATGTGTAATTCTTATTGAAAGTCATTTTTTACTTTACCACTGGTTCGAAAAAAAACCTCTATCCTGGGAAGAACCAGCAAGAAAACCAGCGGGACTTTTTTTTTAAAATAAATTTTACAATATAAATGATTACAAACTACTTACAAAATTTATTTTAGAAACTGCTTGGAAGCGACCACCTCATTCCTAGGGGTTATTATCAACCATGTATTCATTTCTAAATGGCACATATATATTATAATTAAATGTAAATAAACTTTAAAAAAATTTCTTCAATTTGTATATATAGTGCGAAGAAACGTTTTCTCCGATCTAATATTATATAGTTGTCTTCTGGTTTCCCTCTGTCACCTCTTACGACACCCATGAGACTATAGGATATTCTTACACCGCCGCTACACGATTAAATGAGGCAACTAATGGAGAGACCCTGTACAGCAGTGGACTGTTAATTTCTTTGTTAATAGAATTTGCACGACAAATGAGCACACAGTCCACTTGATTGTAAATTTTAGTTAAACACTTTCAATGAGAGCCAAGGTGTTCGCTTAAAATTTTCATAGATTTTGCATATTATATGGATGACAAACGAGCACACATCCCACCTGATAGTACACGGATGCTGTGGCTCACTGACATCTACATCTGTTCACAATTAAGAATCAAAATGCGGATGCGTTGTGATCCTTGACTTGTGTTCAGATGGAATGCCACTTTTCAGTAAAAGGTCTCCGGTTCTTTGAACACACCATACGAAGCACAGCAGCATTAATCTGCTATTTTACGCTGGTATTCTGAGAAAGCTTTGTCTTTCCCCGGTTAAGCCAACCCATTCGTGCTACTTACGAAATATAGCTGCAGCATAGCTCTACTACGTATACCGTTCACGTGCAGACTGGGAATCAATTCCATGAAAAGCTCTATATTCATTCATTATGACTCAATATTTTATTGAGTAGTTTACTCGTAGTAGAGCCATGCTGTAGCTATATTATAGTTGTAGCACGAATTAGTCGGCTCGACCAGTGATGTCTCGACCGAGGAAGTCGACCATGCGTGTGTGTGTGTGTGTGTGTGTGTGTGTGTGTGTGTGTGTGTGTGTGTGTGTGTGTGTGTGTTTGTGTGTGTGTGTGTGTGTGTGTGTGTGTGTGTGTGTGTGTGTGTGTGCGCGTGAGTACGTGTGCGTGTGAGTGTGCGTGTGCGTGTGCGTGTGCGTGTGGGTGTGCGTGTGCGTGGGCGTATGCGTGCGTGCGTGCGTGCGTGCGGGTGTGTGTGTGTGTGTTTGTGTGTTTGAGTGTGTGATTGTGTGTATGTGTATGTGCGTGTTTGTGTGCATGCGTGTGTGTGTGTGTGTGTGTGTGTGTGTGTGTGTGTGAGAGAGAGAGTGGGTGTGCGTGCGTGTGTGTTTGTGTGTGTGTGTGTGTGAGTTTGAGTGTCTTTGAGTGTGTGATTGTGTGTATGTGTATGTGCGTGTTTGTGTGCGTATGTGTGTTTGTGTGTGTGTGTGTGTGTGTGAGTGTGTGTGTGAGTGTACGAGTGAGTGCGTGTGCGTGGTTGCGTGTGTGTGCGCGATTGTGACCGTGTGTGCGCGTGAGTGCGCGTGTGCGTGGGTGCGCGTGGGTGTGTGTGTGGGTTTGTGTGTGTATGTGGGTGTGTGTATGTGTGAGTGTGTGTATGTGTGTGTATGTGTGTGCGTGGGCATGCTTGACTGTGTGTGTGTGTGTGTGTGTATGTGTGTTGTGGGCGTGTGTGCGTCCGTGCGTGTGTGCGTGCGTGCGTGCGAGCGTTCGTGCGTTCGTGCGGGCGTTTGTGCGTATGTGAGGAATGAAAGGAGAGAGTGCCTAGTTTTGAAAATGTCTACATATATTTAAATTACTTAGCTGATTATCTAAGTGGTTTTAAAATGAAATAGTTTATATAATAATTTAACGTTTGTCTTATTTTAGAAATTTCAATATTTAACGCAGAATTGCAATAACATTTTCTCTAATATTAACTTTGTCGCTTGAAAGTATGGGGTACTATGCGTCAAATCCGGTAGTTCTGAGTTTTCGCAGACTTGTTTATGATATTGGCCCAATGAATAATCCAAGTTTGTGACCTCGAGCGCAGAATGCAACTTTGTCAAAAATCGAAAAAACAGCGAAAAAACCTTTTTTTTTTCAAATTTTGGCGATTATAACCCTAAAGGACTAGTTTTTGAAAAAAACGTTTTTGGAAGTTTTTAAAGTACACTAAATTTGCTACAATGTCATAATAAAATTGTCTCAGTCGAACCAATAGTCTCCGAGATTAAGCCTTTCAAAGTTTATTGTTTTTTTCGAACTTCGCAAATTTTTGCAATTTTGTCGTTCTGAATGAATTTTGAGCCTGATTATACTATCGCAGCCCTGTACTATTACACTGGAATGTTAAAAAACAAAATGAGAAGAGTGAATGATGATGTTTAAGCTAAGCTACGAATAATGAAGTAAAAAAGATAAGTAAAACAAAAGTTAATAAGTTTATTTGTTAGGAAATTGAGTAATTTTCAAAATTAAAAAATTAAATTAATTTAACCCTCTTGGAAGGTCCCGGTTGAGATTCGTCCGTATCTAGATCGACGTATTGGGATGGCAAATCCCCATTAGGGGATGGTGATGAATCGTTGACGTCTTGTGCCCACAAGTCATCTTCCATTTCGACATCGGACAGATCATCGCCTTCTGGGATATCTACTACGTAGGTCACTCGATAAGTTTTGAGATGCTCGAAATTTAAAAATAGAACGCACCCGTGTTATATGTTTCTAAAAAGCAAATGTATTTAAAAATAGAACTCCATAAGCCTATTGCTCAATATATAAAAAAAAACAAAGTTCTATACATTCCCTGCAACGCTTCCTGTACTTTTCATTTAAAACGATGGATCTTAACCGTAAACATATGCGCGCTATGGTTTATTATGATTTTAAATTTGTTTTAACCGTACAATTAAGTTTACAACTGTTAACCTCAGCACTAAGGTCATTTCTTGGACCAACATCATAAACAAGTCTACAAAAAATCAGAACTACCGGATTTGACGCATGCTGTGATGTATAAAGTTAATGGACTATTGATATTGATGGTTCTGCTCTTAAACTTCAATATCGTCCTGCCACATAAAAACAGACCTTATAAACTGCAAGGAGTAATTTCGGCAGTTGCAATTTATACCGGAAACTTAAGTTTTGCAGTTGACTTTGAATCTGTGAAACCGCAGTTATCGCGTTTTTAGCCTCGTGACTTGTGATCACCGATTTTCTGCCTCTCCCGACGAATTTGTCAATCAGAGAGATGTGCACTTGCTTACCTTATTTACTGTTATTGTTTGTGTTGATAATGTTAAGCGATATCCATTATATTTCTGATTAGTACCAAAATCTTTAATAACTATAATACATGACACTATTAATAAATGACAAAATAACTGATGAATATATATAATTTAAATTTGAAGAATACGTAACCGTTAAATTTTAAATTATTATACGTGATGTGTTTTTTTACGACTACAATCGTAAAAATAAAAAAAATGAAAAGAGAAATAATAAAAATATGGTGGCGGTATAAGATCTACTACTAGTCCATATCATCCCATGGGTGTCGTAAGAGGTGATAGAGAGAAACAGAAACGTCATCCTACCATATACAAATACGAATAAAAAATTGGAGTGTCAGTTTGTGTTGTGTGTTTGCTGTAAAAACATATGAAAGTATATATAGTGCTTATAACAAAAACAGTTTTTTTAATTTTTGTCTGTCTGTCTGTCTGTTTGTTCCGCACTAATCTCCGAAACGGCTGGATCGATTTTGATGGAACTTTTACTGGCAGACAGCTGATGTTATAAGGAGTAACTTAGGCTATTTTTATTTAAGAAAAAGAATTAGGGTTCCGCGCAAAAAGTTAACTACCTAAATTATAAGCAGGCGAAGTCGCGGGGAACAGCTAGTAATGATTTAAAAAATAATAACTGCGGTCAGCAACCCACCTGAAAAGTGATCTATAGAGAGGCTTTTGTAAAAAAATCATGTCCACATTGACTAATTTTCATATATTATATTATTTTTTATATTATTTTAATATTTAATAAATGGTATTTAAATATCTGTTCGGTTCTGTTTTTGACCCTCTATTAAAAGTAGACCTTCATTAACCTTGAAGGCGAAATGGATTGAACGGACTGTGCCTTATAAAAACCGCAGCACTCACTGTAAAATTATTCAGTTGCTAACTACAAACAACATCAACATGTTTGCTAAGGTTTGTTGAGCCATACATTGTACATAAATAATTTAATAATATTATTATTTTAACTATTATCATCATTATAGCCTTTCATAAGTACACTGCTGAAGATAGGCCTACCTTAAGGCATTAAGCATTATTATTAATAACGAACAAGTAAGATTTAAAAAAATTATCTATTAAAAGTCAACCACGTTTATAATTATATTCTCACATTGTCATTTAATTATGAACTATGTTCAAAGTCTCTAGTTGATCGGAAATTAGATTAATAATTATTCAAATACTGAATTCCACTCGAAGAAGTTAAGAATGAAGTGAACCGAACTTTTTCTTTAAATTGTCTAGTTGTTGTAGTTAAATATTACAGTTACTTCAAATTCATAGAGTTAAATTAATCTGTTTGCTTGTTTTAATAAATCATTATTGTTACAGGTTATCGTTGCTCTGTGCGCTATAAGCGCGGTTCGCGCTAGCGGTATTTTGGGAGTTGGCCCGGCGGTGTATAGCAGCCACGCAATCGCTGCCCCCGCTGTGGTCACCAAGACTATCACTCCCGCTGTCTCCTCTGTGTCTTCTTACTCCACCCACACTGCTCACGGTGGACCCATCGCCACTTACGCCGCCGCTCCCGCCATCGCCACCACCTACGCCGCTGCCCCCGCTATCGCCACCACCTACGCTGCAGCTCCCATTGTGAGCAAGACCATCACACCCGCTGTATCCTCCGTGTCTTCTTACTCTACCCACACTGCTCACGGTGGACCCATCGCCACTTATGCCGCCGCTCCCGCCATCGCCACCACTTACGCCGCTGCTCCCGCTATCGCCACCACCTACGCTGCAGCTCCCATTGTGAGCAAGACCATCACACCCGCTGTCTCCTCCGTGTCTTCGTACTCGACCCAAACCGCACATGGTTCTCCCATCACGACCTACGCAGCTGGCCCAGCTGTAGCCTACGCCTCCCGAGCCATCGCCGCACCCGCTCTGGCCGCATATGCCACCCGCACTTACGCCGCTCCCTCTGCAACTTCCTACTCTTCCTACTCCACCCAGACTGCTCACGGCAGTCCCCTTGTAACTAAGACTTACGCTGCCCCCGCGTTCTCCACCTATGCCAGCCCCGTGTACTCTACCTACGCCGCCGGCCCCGCGTACGCGACCTACGCCTCGGCTGCCCCCGTCCTTCGTTCTTCTATTGCGTACTCTGCCGCTCCCGCTGTCTCCCACATCTCCTACAGCGGTCATGGTGCTAACTATGGTTGGTAAACTGAATCTTGTTGGTATGAACTGTAAATAGACAAATTAAAAAATATACAACTTGCTATAATAAACTAATACATTTGTTTTATTACCTTTGTTTCTTCTTTTTATTAAGACTTATCGTTAATTTACATACATGAATAAAAAAATTATATGTAAAAATTCTTCCCTTGACAAAGCTGTCCCACAGTTCAAGGGCTAAGCTCTCGCCGTAGATATAACAGTGCGTAAGTAACCCGGGTTAGATCCCCGCTGACAACAGCACTTACATTAAATTGTTAATTTTAATTTTAAGTGCTGATTTACCACGTGCACAGCGGTGAAGGAAAACATCGTGAGGAAACTTCATGTTTAAGTAATATATTTTTAGAGAACACATGAGTGAGTGAAAACATTACACGTACTGGAGCAACGGTGCACTTATTGGTTCACCGTGGTCCACAGGGTTGAATCTTCTTAGAAATGAGAGGAGACTTGTGCCCTGCGATAGGACGTACATTGACTGTAACTTTACAAAACTTGTATACCTTTAGTACAAAAATATACTCATGGACAAATTTAGAGTAAAGCAAAAAAATGTGTGTATAAAACAAAATATAATGGATATTTTTGTGACAATGACGTTTATTAATTTGTATTTTGTTTGTTTATTCGTGAAGTTAAAATTGCAAACGTTTTAAAAACAAACGATCAAATGACAAAAATTTATGAAATTATGAAAAATAAATTAAACATTTACAAAATAGAAACATTTTTGTACTTAACATTTTTTTTCATTAATTATTAGAAAAGGCTATATAATGTGGACTATAATCAAGACTTAGTGTTACCCCCAAAAAATTCTTGTGAGATTGTGTTTCATTCTTACTGTTACGCGTTTTTAAGATCTTTCAAATTAGCGAGGGTAGGATTTCTTTTTTAATTTAGCTTTCAAAGCTTATTTGGTAGGTACATGCTCCATGGGGTTTAAGTCGGGCGAGCGTGCTGACCGCCCCATAGCATTAATTTAAACGTCTTGAAGGTATTCGACAACTACGGTCTTAGTATGGGGGCGTGCGTTATCATGCCTAAAAGCAAATCTATCTCCTATAAAAGGAGCAACTGGGATTAAAACCCAATATCTTAGTTACATATCGTGCCGCTATTAGTGACTTATTCTCAATAACGCGAAGAAAGCAGTCAAGGCAAATTTTAAACAAAGCCTAAATTTAAACTCAAATTCCAAAGTTGGCAAAGTGTTTCGCACATTGAGTTAAATGTTGTACTACGTACAGTGCATATATATCGATGGTTTTGCAGTATCAAAGAACGTAATATTACGATATAATTACATACAAGAAATGAAATTCGAAAATAAAAACATTCCAAAACTTTCCTTTTTAATAGTATTTACTATTAATGTTTGAAAAAGTTTGGCTATACAATAAAATTTCGATATCAATTTTGAAAATATTGATCACTGTTGATGAAAAATGGGTCACCTACGACAAGAACGTGTGAAAAAGATCATGGTCAAAGGGTAATAGAATAGAATACTAGAATAGAATAATTTTTTATTCAATATATATTACATGTGTAATTCTTATTGAATGTCATTTTTTACTTTACCACTGGTTCAAAAAAAAACCTCTGTCCTGGGAAGAACCAGCAAGAAAATCAGCGGGACTTTTTTTTAAAAATAAATTTTACAATATAAATGATTACAAACTATTTACAAAATTTATTTTAGAAACTGCTTGGAAGCGACCACCTCATTCCCAGGGGTTATTATGAACCATGTATTCATTTATACTATAATAACCCTCTTTATACAGTTTCAGCTTAATAAAACATTTAAATTTGGTAATAGAGAGAGCCTGTACGCTTTCCGGGACCTTGTTGTAATAGCGTATACATTGCCCCAAGAATGAATTACTGATTCTGTGGAGTCGAGAAACTGGTATCACTAGCTTGTGTTTGTTTCTAGTGTTTACAGAATGTATATCACTTTATTTTACTAAAACTACCTTTATTTTTGTGAACATACATTAAATTTTCGTAAATGTACTGAGAGGCCAAAGTTAATATATTTATTTCTTTTTTAAAAACACATTACTTTCATTAATAAAGCTCCACAGACTGTAGCCAAACCCGGACTAATACGCAATAAGGTGATGACAGCATCACCCAGGTGTATAGTGGGATAGGAAGGGCATTGTTTATTAAGAGCTTTTACCGCCGAACAAAACCATCATTTCGAATCTCTACTATCAACAACAACTAATGAGACAAACAATAACTTGAGAGAAAACGGCCGGAATTGATCAACGGAAAAGAAATGGTCTTTGATCATGATCACGCCAGACCGCACACATCATTGGCCGCTCAGCATTGAGATCCACCATATATATAATCCTGACCTTGCACTCTCAGATTTTCACCTGTTTTAGTATCTTCAGAATTCTTTGGGTAGTGTTAAGTTACCATCAAGAGAGGACTGTCAAAACTACTTGTCGCATTTATTTGATCAAACAAAATGGCACATATATATTATAATTAAATGTAAATAAACTTTAAAAAAATTGAACTTGTATATAAAATACGAAATAACTTTTTCCTCAATCTAATATTATATAGTTGTTATTAGGAAGATGCTGCTGCCCGTCTTCTGGTTTCCCTCTGTCACCTCTTACGACACCCATGAAACTAGTGGATATTCTTACACCGCCGCTATACGATCAAATGAGGCAACTAATGGAGAGACCTATGTACAGCAGTGGACTATTAATTTCTTTGTTAATAGAATTTGCACGACAAACGAGCACACAGTCCACTTTATAGTAATTTGGTGCTATGGCCCATATACTTCTACATTTATCCTCAATTAAAAATAAAAGTGGAGATGCGTGGAATGCCTCGTTTCCAATAAAGAGGGTTTCCGATTTTCTCCACTCATCATACGAAACACAGCAGCATTAAACTGCTATGTTCGGCTGGTATTCTCTGAGAGCGTGGTTCTACCCCGGTCGTGCCGACCCATTCGCGCTACAACCATAATATAAAGCTGCTGCGTGGATTTACCACGTAAAATGTCTGTGATGATGAATGAATTCCAACTAAACTTAAAAAGCTTATTTTAAGAGTATTTTACGTTGACGATCATGTTTCGTTGTCGGCACCTTTTTGGGTTAAAAGTACTTCTTTTTCTTTATCAGTCCGTAAAAGTAATTGGACATAGGCCACGCCCGTTGTTGGGTGGTGCAGGTTCTTTTTTTTAACAGTGGTAGAGCTAAGCGGTAGCTTTTGCAGTCGCACGGATGGGCCAGCTCGAACCGGGGTGGTACCACGACCTCACAGAATACCAGCGTGAAGTAGAGGTTTACCTCTGCGTTGCGCTTGGTGAGTGCAGGTGGCCGGAGGCCCAATTCCCCCCCCCCCATCAACATGGTAGTGGAATTAAATAAAAGACTACCCCAGGAGGGTACCAGCACCCCTGGAGAATCCCTCGCTGAGCATCCACGACCAAACTACTTCACTCCTGAGCGTGGGTGCTCAGGCTGCCCCCGCGTATTCTGGGGGGGCGCAAAATTCCGCTCGCGACTAATGCTGCTCGGGGCAAGCGGAGCAATACAACCAAGGCGAACCCTGTCACGCTATCCGTGAATTTTTGCAACATCAGGGGACTTCATTCCAACCTTAACGCTGTCCATTACCATCTAGAGACGGCGAAGCCGGCCCTGCTCTTTTTAACCGAGACTCAGGTGTCCTCTCCGTCTGATACTTCATATCTCTCCTACCCGGGGTACAAATTGGAACACTCCTTTGTGCCTCGGGCTGGAGTTTACGTCAGAGAGGACATCTGTTTTCGACGCCTCGGCAGTCTTGGAGGTACGGACCTGTCCATCCTATGGCTGCGCGTAGACAGCGACGACCATCCCCGCTTCTACGGGTGCCTCTATAGGTCCCATAGCGGTAATGCCGACACAGACCGACTCATCGACCACGTCCAAATGGCTGCAGACTCCGTGCTACAACAGGTCCCATCCGTAGAGATCGTGATACTCGGTGATTTTAACGCCCACCACGCTGAATGGCTTGGTTCTCATTTAACCGATCATGCGGGTAGATCTGTCTATGACTTTGCTTTAGCATATGGTCTAACACAACTGGTTACTTGGCCTACGCGGATCCCAGATGTGGAAGACCATGTACCTTCCCTGTTGGACCTTCTGCTGACTTCTCATCCGGACGGATATCAGGTCTCCGTCGATGCCCCTCTGGGCTCTTCGGACCATTGTCTGATCCGGAGTACGGTGCCACTCACGCTCCAATCGCAGTTGCGATCTGCAGCTTGCCGCCGTGTTTGGCACTATAGGTCGGCTGATTGGGACGGGATGCGGTCTTTTTTTGCATCGTATCCTTGGGTTTGGTTCTCACCGGAAGATCCCAGCGTTGTTGTCGATAATGTTGCTGATGTGGTACTTCAGGGTATGGAACTTTTTATTCCATCCTCTGTGGTGCCCATCGGAGGCAGATCCCAGCCATGGTTTGGTCGCTCCTGTAAAATAGCATCACGCTATAAGCTGGAGTGCTACCGGGCCTGGGCTGACGCATCAACGTCTCGGGATGTAAACACCAGCGCACTTAAAAAGAAGTATAATTCCGCCTCCAGGTCCTTCAAACTCGTCATTGCCAAGGCAAGGTCTGAGCACATCGGCAGAATTGGCGAGAAACTTGTTCGCCTTCCTTCGGGAACCCGTGCATTCTGGTCTCTCGCCAAGGCTGTCCAAGGGAACTTCTGTCAGCCATCTCTTCCATCTTTGCACAGAGAGGACGACTCACTGGCCCATGCCGCAAAGGAGAAAGTCGATCTGTTGAGCTCTCTTTTTGCGTCCAACTCGACTCTAGATGACGGGGGGAACACACCGCTGACCGTCCCGCGATTTGAGTGCTCCATGCCGGATGTGCGGTTTACACAGCGCTCGGTTCGCAAAGCACTCTTCTCCCTGGACGCCAGCAAGTCTAGT